ACTAATAAATAAAGTAGAATAAATAGCTAAATAACGAGCATTGGGTAAGTGTCCTAAGGTGCATGGTCAAATCCAGTGCTTGAAAGGCCTAAGGTGCATAAAGTAAAGTAACTAAATATAAATATAATTAATAAATAAAATTAATTTAATGACATTTGACGAGAGAGCAAATTTAAAAAAACTAAATCCAAAACAATAAAAAAAAGTATAATTTGGTTTCTTATCCATGGTCTTATCGTGGTTGATTTCACACACATTTTCTCAACACAATGTTTTATAAAGCTTGACACCGAAGAAAGAGATAAACTACCAAACTACACCAGCGACGAAACCGCAACTACAGCTACTGTTAGCTGCCTTTTAGTTAGCAACCAGCTGGCCTTCGCTTTCCTCGGAATAGGCGACAAAAATCGTTTTTAATGTGGATGAATCGTCTGTTAAAGCGTTTTTCACATCACCGGGGACGAAATAAATACAAACTTACGCGTTGTAACTGCGATAGATAAACTGTTGCTATGGATTCACCAAAAAGGTGGCCGAGGAGCAACCGCCGCTTTTTTAAAAACACTGGCAGAGACGTAAAACGTGCAGTCGACGTCAGATCCGGCAAAACGCTGCGTTCACGTGTAGTTTTTTCTTTTTTTTCTCAGCGATTTAAACAGTATTGTTTTGTAGTTTAGTACTGACGTGAAACACAATTATAATTCAGTGTTGTTATCAGGCAGCTCCTTGCAAATCATCCTCTAGTATCAACGTACTTCTTTCTTTAAATCGATTATACATATTTATACATTTACGCAAGGCTCCGACAGTACCCTAAACGCAACACAAAGGATGTACACAGCTACTTTTATCCTTATTTTCTGGAAATAATTTCCATAATAATACATATAGCCCAGTTGGCGACAAGCGTGTAACTATATACATATGTACATGTATGCTTTTTGCAGTTTGGACAGCGAAAAGAGCGCAAACACAAAATGAGAAGAAGTAACATCAGCTAAAACTGCTAATTTGTGAATTAAAGAGGTGGAACTACTATATGCCACAAAGTAATATATGCCACAAAGTAAACACGACTCACCTCTAACCAATAGTGTCTGTCTGTGTGTGCAGGTGCATCCTTGGAGTACCAGCTGAGCGTATCAGTATTATTTATTATCAGTTAATTAATTAATTATCAGACTGAGTGCGATTTGTACATTCAAATCATTGCTCACCATCAGTTTGTGTTGACTTCCCAGCAGGTTCATCCAGCTGCTCATGTGCTCAAATTTCGACAGAAAAATGAAACCTAATTGAAGGGGGAATATTTGATCCTTTCCTGCCCAGCAGGGGGCATCGTACCTTTTAATGCAGTAATCTCAGTGAGTTGAATCTACATCAGCAATTTGAATCTTTACACTTGCCCTGAAAGAACAAACTGTAACCCATATGTTATACATGTATATATATGCTGTGTATACACTGTGTTTTATACTGTCATGACACCAAAACGGTTAAATGTAAGACAAACCCCAGTAGACAAATAAAGCTTTCCAATTAGTAACAATTCTTTATTCAAAACATGCACTTTTTGGTTAGAAAAATATTTTTCACAAAAACACTGGCACACTGCAAAGGGCCAACCTTAATGACATTTCAATTTGAAAATAAAAGTATGTATTAATAACACTGAATTCTTCATACCAGGCCTGGAAATGTAAATCTAGATTATGTAAAACTGGTTGAGAAAACCTCCATAGCACGAACTTCAAACAAACAAAACAAGTGTCAACAATTTTAACAGCTTGACAATAAGACGTTGACAACAGTTTCAACAACAGGGTTTCGCCAAATACTTCCACTGACCAATATATTTCCAAATGTGTAAAAACACCTGTCTCTCTCTCCAAAATAAACTACACAAACACTGTAACCTTACCTACTGAAAACATATTCTATTTCTTTCTTTATGGCTGGTAAACAAACCTGGTTTAATGAAAATATCAATTACATTTTGCATATTTAGAAACAATATTCAAAAGTTAACCAATGGATGGTAATGAAACTAGTCACATAGACAGTAGGATGTCTTTTTTTCAGCCCATAGTGGTGAGGAGAGTTTGTAGAAAACAAGACTTAATCAACAGCTGTACTTAAAATGATGCAGAATCAATAGGAAGCGAGACTTTTATAAGTAAGGCACCTTAGGTAATAGCGTGGAAGCGTCTGCATATTCACAGGGAAACAAAGACAGCACCAGCATCTTCTTGCAAAATCGATTAAACAAAATATACAAAGTTATTATGATACTTTTACTCCACTGTAATATAATGTTGAACACAGCGACAACAAACAGTTACCCAGGTCTGTCACACACTTAAAGGGTTACATCTTTTCTCATTCCCTTTACATTATCTTTAATGTCATTTACATATTAGTAGCAGAATCTATCTTGTACTGAGGTTTAAGGCTACTTAAACTTGAATACTTACAGTGTATACACTATGTTAAAACCTTAGTCTCAGGCACAAGCTGATGCTCATCATAAATAAATATTTTTTCCATTTTCCCCAATGCTTTTAGACCAAATTTGTATTGTAATACAGGATAAACATATTGTTTATTATATTTTCTTTGCATACTTGTGTAAACTGTTATCAGAATAGGGCTGCAACTATTGAATTAATCAATTTATTGTTTAGTTTATGTTAGAAAAATGCCCATAAATCACAATGTCCCATTAGTAATGAATGTTGAAATGTTGAATGACTTAAACAATTAACTAATCAGTGAGATGTTTCAGCCCTAAATCAATACGTTGCATTAGAATCCCTGTAATGTATCTGTAATATATCTGCATTAACGTACCATTCATTATCTCTGGGACTGTTTAGGTTTTTAATTTCGTGGGTAAATCACATTCATTGTTAGATCCTCAGAGGAGAGAGCTATCAGTGGACTGGTACAAGGTAGATCCTGACACTAACAATCACGTACAACTATTTAAATCATATGAATACTAGACCACTACTAGAATGTAAACTGGGTGCCGTGTCCACAGTATGGACACACAAACGTAAATACTGCGTGTCTGAGAAAGATCTACGGTGTTTAAAAATGAAAAAAAAGTTTATTTCAGATCCACTCGGAACCCTTTATGACTCCATATTTGCTGCTACTGCTGGTGCTCCTGCTGCCTCGGTCTGTGTCTGCCTTGCTGGAGGTGTGCTTGGAGGCCTGCCGGTGTTTACGTTCACGGTGAGGCTTGCTGTGGTTATTACTGTGGCTCTGTGGCTGGCTGTAGGCTTGACTGTCAGGCTCCAGCCTGTTCTGAGCCTGACAAGTGTCCTTATGAACACATCTGGGGGCATCTCCCATCCCTGCTCTGCACAGGTTTTCATCATTATTGGCGTACTGCTGCCGCTCCTCTTGGGCAATGTTCACGTGGTTCTGCTGGCACGCCATCTTGGCATTAGTGAGATCAGTGATGGGTAGTGGTTGCTCGTGGTGCCCTGTAGATACCAGAGGAGGCTTGATGGCGATGTTGTACCCAGGTGGAGCTGACGGCGCATTCCAAGAAAAAGGGTAGCTGCTGTAATCCTCTCCGCTCAACCCTGCCTCATTAAGAGCTCCTTGTCCTCGCGTCAACCCGTACAGCTCGTCGCCGGGGAGCTGCGCGTGGCGGGAGCGCACGATGTCACAGATGGTTCCTATGCCCAGGTGAAGCATCTCCCATATATTGAGCGCCAGACAGAGCAGAGAGACTGTGTACATGATGAGGAGGAAGATAGTTTTCTCAGTGGGCCGTGACACAAAGCAGTCCACACTGTGAGGACAGGGCAGGGTGGAGCAGGAGTAGCTGGCGGGCACAGCGAATCCATAAAGGGCATACTGTCCAGACAAGAAAGCCACCTCCAGCAAGGAGCGGGCCAAGAGCTGTAGGACATATATCCGCATCAGTCCATCCTCTTTGATACGTTGGCGCCCATCATGGCGCACCTTGACCTTCGTTCGTCCGTCGCCGCTGTTTCCTTTCGCTGTCCCGCCGTCATCACTCTCCTCCGCCACTTCATAGATCATTGGGTCTTCTTCTTGGTCGTCCTCGGCCTCTTCAATGCCCCTGTGCTGCTTTCTGCCAGCAAGATAGTGCTTCTTGGGTCTCTTCCGTGAAAAGCCCCTGCCCCCCCCACTGTCTGCCTGCTCCTCTGCATGAGCAATTTTGTTGACGGCGTAGCCCAGGTACATGAGTGAAGGAGTGGCGACCAGAATGATTTGGAAAACCCAAAAGCGGACGTGGGAGAGTGGAGCGAAGGCGTCATAGCAGACATTCTCGCAGCCTGGCTGGCCTGTGTTGCAGACAAACTTGCTCTGCTCATCGTAGTAGATGGACTCACCTCCTACGGCCGTCAGCACTATGCGGAAAACAATGAGAACAGTGAGCCAGATCTTGCCCACAAATGTGGAATGGTTGTGGATTTCTTCCAGCAGCCGAGTCAGGAAACTCCAACTCATGGTAGTGGCAGGGAAACTACAGTGAGGGGCAACATACACCTCCTGTTACTCCCCTGTGGAGAGAGCAGAAATGGTTAACCTCTCTGCCATGCATGCAACACTATAAGGAACGCAACATTTGTAATAATTGCTTATATTATAGTATAGACCTCCTTATGGTTAAATATTTATGCCATTTAAAGACAAGCAAAATATCTGCCAAGAACAGTATCGGATATGTGGAGAGAATAACGAAAAAAAAAGAATATTTATTAACCTGTCTTTCTGTGTGCGTCTCTGAATTTGTCTCTCTTTCCCACACTCACAGAATAAATACACACGTTTTGATTCTACAAATAAGGACACCACACACACTCTTCTGCTGTATTCACAAAGTATTTCAGCTCCAAGCACTTTGTCTTTAGCGAAAGTATACACGGTTATCAAATAGTGTAATTCTCCACAATAACAACACGTTTATCCTCGATTCTTTTAATAGCTGTGCCCTAAAGTCATGTCTAAACATACCCTTGGCATTGGTACACACAGGGAAGAGTAACGACAACGATGGAATGTCTAACCATAATTGCTATTGTTAACTGAACGTCCCTGCATTTGAATTAACTTTAAATGTGGCTACCACTATTTACCCCTCCTGAATGTGATAGGAACTCACAGGAAAAAACAGAGTAAAGCCATTTGCTGATTATATATAATGACACATGAATGCATTAATATAAGACAATATTAGTATTTTCATAGTTTGACATTAACAGCTTCTTAACATTACACTCCAGTGATAGGATATAAGTACTACACTGACAGTGTGTAAGCTTTCATTACTACTAAATTAAGGGATTTGTGGAGATTAAGCTATTTTAGTTTTATATGTGTCTTAACTTACACATTGGTCTTCACATTAGCTTTAAATATGGCTCAGCTCCATGCTAACACACACTCTTTGTGCTGTAATTAGGCTGGGGTACAGGGATGCTCAGAGGCAGCAGAACACTAAATGGCTCGCAAACAATGAAATGACTGCAGAATTGAAATTAGAGTAGAGAGTATATTTTCCTCTCAGTCCAATTTAGATGATAAAATCCTTTTTTTTCCTCGAGGTAACTAGACCATCTCATACTGTATCAAACCCTGAAAGAACTCTGTTTAACCTGCAGACATCCATCTGCCCAAACCTTACGCTGCAGACATCTCCACGAGTCACTCATGTACGAAGAAATCTCAAAGGTTCAGACTTCTGTGGGACAGACTATGTCTCCGTGTGTGATGTGTGTGTGTGTGTGTGTGTGTATATAAGTTTGATGAACGACAATTTCTGTGGATAGTGTATAAGATTAAGTGCTTTTTATTACAAGCAACCATGCAGAACATGGTTGCTTGTAATAAAAAGCACTGGATATCCATCTACCAGTAGGGGACAGAGACTGAGCCAAACAAGGTCAGGTGTTGAAGAAACAACCTTGAGGTTGTTCTGAGACTGTATGTTATGTGCACAGTTATGTTATTATACTGTTTAGCTAAATATGTCTGTTTATTAAGTCTAAAATCAAAAGCTATTCTTTCAATCAGTTTGCAGTTTTATTTTAGTGTGATACACTATTTGGCTAATTCTTATTATTCTAGATATTTCCATAAGTCTGACCACATGAAAACGTAACATGGGCTTTTCTGCTCAGACTGAAATTATTAATCAACGGGAAGAAAATGAACAACTTTTATAATTAGCATTATAATAAAAACGTTTCAAATGTGAGATTTTCTTTTCTGTTTTATATCACTGTAAACTGAATAGATTTTTTGTTTTGGACTGTTTTGGACTTGCCGCCCTAATTTGTTTTGATTATTTATTATAAATTACAAGGTGACTTTATTTTTCATATGCAAAACTACAAACCCAGATTAAAATGTATTTCTAAAAGTGTAAAAGCAACTTAAAGTGCATAATATACAAGTCTACCCTCACTTTTATTGATGCCATGCAACTGAATACATAACTGACACTTGGTTCATAGTAGGCACACTGACACACTGTCACATTGAGTCAGTGTGTGACATTCTTTATCAAAAAAACAAACCCCTATGAAACCAGCTGCTGTTAACATGCTTCCTCATGTCTCACTCTGTCTCATTAACAGTCACATGCCCTCTAAAACTGCACATCTGGCAATGTTGTGTAATGTACTATTTAGAGGCCCAGTAGCACAGCTATCACCACCCAAACACAGGTCTCGCAGATTGCACGAAACTGGGAAAAAATCATTCAAGATTTCTCTATTTTTCAGCTCAGCTCATCAGCAAAGCAAATCCTGCTGCGAGAGATAATCCCTCATCAAAGTCAAACAATCCTATGTAACACAAAACAGATTCAGGTCTAACTGATAATCTTATCTATCTTGAATTAAAGTAATTACTCAAAAATAATAACTTTGCTCGTGTTTTTATCAAATCTTAGTGACCCTGTGGAGTTTTTGACAACTAGTTTGGTGTATTAAAAATGTAGTAACAGCTCAATACCCCAAGTTGGGCCTAGTATTGCTACATCGAATGCCTGAAGGTGATGCAGTGTATTTTCCCCAGATGTCTTCCAGTCCCAGACCAACAGCCTCCAGTTTCCTACAGTGCCAGTAAAAGAACTATTTGAGGAGTGCAACTTTAAAGAGCAGGCAGCCTTGTACATGCCTATCTAAGAAGGCTTCAAGCTGTGAATGTGAAGGTTCGTGGTTTCCTTCAGAGCAGTTAAAGTGACGCTACACCCAAAATCTATCGTTTGAGTATAAAACACCCACCCACTATTAACTTAAAAGGGTGACTGTAAAGTTTGTAGTTTGCTAACACTGCACTTCCTTTTTTAAAGTATAGTTTAGGGGGTATTTCTTGATTTAAGTAGAGTTTTGGGGGTATTTTCTAGAAATGACATTCAAGAAAGGTCCCTGGATGGACTCAAAACCGATACGCTGCAACCACATTGTCAGCATCTTGAATGTAAGAAACCCCTGTCATATCATGATAACAAAAGGAAATAGCTTTGACGTGCTGATCCAGGGACACGCATTAATCCATGACGCGCATTAAGATGGCGCTAGTATGTGGGCTTGCGTATACAAAACTGGTGCAAGCACTTTAACGTGCAGCATACACGTCTAGGCCACCAAGATGCCCCAACACTGGATTTACTATATTGTTGTGCATTTAGTGCAGATGAAGAGAGGGGAACAAAAGTTAAATCTGGTGGTAATAACTAGCAGACCTAAAGGAAGTTCCATGTTGTGCCTGGGAGCCTGCCAATCGGTCAACTTCAACAGGAATTCAGACCAACAAGCAAGCTGGGGGCAGGATTGTCAGGCTACCCAACGAGCGGCAATAAAGACTGAAAATAAAGAACAAAAGCAGGCAGATAAAAAATTGTTTGCTTACAATGCCTTCATTACCATGTTACATAAGTCTTGGCAAACTTACTCGAATAAAACAATGGTGTGTCCTGAGGAAAAGCTACAACGAAGGACTGCAAATGCAATTATCTAAACTTCAGACTCAGCATCAGCCATCGCTGTACACACAGACCCGGAGCCCACGGGGTACAGGGGCCATCTACTCGAAGATGTCAAACCACACACAGAAGATGCATAACACAACGTGATCTAGGCACAAGCCCCTAGCGTGGGGAGCTAATCTGTGCCCAAGAAGCCAATACAAGTACGCTATGCTTACATAAGTAATCAATCATCCAGCTAAAAAGAGCTGATAACTACTCATTATTACTACATCAACTGAAGAACTTAGTGCAAGGGCATCTTAGTCATCTTACGATAGTAATTATTCTCTTTTGCCCAGTGTCAGGTCATGAATTTAAAATACGATTTTCAGCGAGAATCAACATTTACTATGAAAGTAAACGCAACACATTCACTACATTGTGCCTCCACTGCAAAATGTCCCTTTATTTATCTTATTGTATCTGTGATTTGATTATAAAGTTGATTCTAAACCAACTTTGACAGATTCCTGCAGGTTTTTAGAGTTTATCTTAACCAAGTAGTTAAAATAAACTGATCCTCCTCGTTAACTACTACAACTAAAAGATCATTTTAAAAAAAATAGCATGTTTAAATCTTGGTGTCCTTACAGCACAGGGTCTAAATCATATTTCTATATATTTTCGCATACTGCAGTTATTATCACCTCTTTTTGTTTTATTCTTCTTATCCTCGTTTTCCCGACCAGAAATCAGAGATATTTTAACCTCCATGTGCCTGCAAAGTGAACAGAGATAACAGGCTAAATCAGATTCCTCATTAGTATATTTGACAGACTTGTTAATTGACCATTTCATGATTTCCAATAGCACATATATGTCTTTTTTTCTAACGTAATAACTCTGCTTTGCCTCTAGTTTAAAATCTAAACTGAGAAAGAGAAGTTTACAGTTACAGCTGGCAAAGTTTAAGCCTATAAATTCTTCCAATTACGAATCATTTATTTTTCATTTGCTGCTGAAAAAACACTGTGAAGGTTGAACAGCTTTTATAATCAAAAACCCAAAAAAGAAACACAGATTTAGATAATTATTATACTAACAGAAACATCTATGGACTGACAGGATAAATACAATTCACTAAATGATTAATAAATGATGATATAGGAAATACAATGAATAATCAATGACAGAAAGTTAATAGCCTCCTATTTTAATAATTGATTGATTAATTGGCCTTTTCTGTTTTATAACATTGATTTGCTTTGGACTCCTGGTCAAATAAAACAAGATATAGGACATTTTGATGTTGTTTTTCACTTTATTTTCATAATTTTATGGACTAAACAACTAATTTTTAAAGATTAATGATTAGTTTCAGACACTGGATCGAAAACAACATCATTTTGGATGCTAGCAAAGTTGAGCTAATGTTAAAGCTATCCAAAACTTTATAGAGAGGTTCTTTTGTGAGAATCTTCTAAATCTAAAATATGTTGTGGCTATAATGCATATTAATGCCTATCAAATATTACCAAGTACATCTGTCATGTTATAGTAAAATATAATACACAAAGTGAATCTAATCTGCAGGTAACTAAGTAACCGAAGCTAATCAATCACCATAGTTTTGTTTGATCAAACTTTATCGGAATTGACCTGGAAAACAGGCACATTTTCAAGTAACCCCAATTTCCCCCTACAATTTATTAGTATTTTCTTCCTCAAACATACTTTTACAAGTTACAGGAGACCGACATATAAGTTATTTGTGTGAATTCCCCAAAGCATCCTCACCTTATGAGAGGCACATTTGGCGCCGTTCCCCTCCGTCTGAAAGCTGGATCTGCGTTAACACTTCACAAAATCAACCGGCTGTGTTGCAGAGGGAACAACTATCTTCAGCGCCGAATTACAGCAAACACTTCAGTATTGACGTTCACTCGTAAAAATGTAGTCAAAGTTTTAAGTGAGTGTAGTTCTCGCTAATTAGACTGTTAAAATTGACTTTTTTATCCCGGAGCCTGGGCTGGAGAGAGAGAGAGAGAGAGCGCTTGATTCTGTGAGCAGAGGAAGACAAACGGGCTGGTGAAAGGCAAGGAGGGGCTTGTGTGTGTGTGTGTGT